CTTTTCTATAAGAGGAACACATTTCAGAACAAGACATTTAATGCGGGACTTGAGAACCTCAAGCCTCACTCTAAAGCAGATCCTAAAATGGGTTGTAAAGATAATTTGTGATTAATGAGGTCTGTGAAATGAAAAACTGCAATAAACGCATCTATTTTGAAGCTAAGAAAAAACAACATCTTTATATGTGGCTTTCAATTTCACCTCATGGGCCCTCTGCCAAATTTCTTGTTCAAAATATTCACACCATAGCTGATTAAAGATGACTAGAAGCTGTTTGAGAGGTAAAAAAAAAAAAAAAAAAAAAGTGGAAAGGTTAACCAGAAATAGACTAGCCCTGATATGAACAACAATTACAAATCATCTCAATCCTTGACTGGATTAAAGTAATCCTAGTCTGTGGGTTCTGTGGTGCTGGTGAAAAGTAAAAGTTTCTGAAGAGAAAATACCTCCCTAGGATTCAAGTTACCCTAAATTGTCATATACAATGTCCAGCTTTCATTGGACCTCTATGATGACAAAATTACTTTTTTTTTTGTACCAGAGGTCGAACTCAGGACCTTGTGCTTGCCATTGAGCTATCTTCCTGACCCTTAAAATTACATTTTAACAAAGAGAGCACTATCAGACAATATAAAGAGCTTGACAGAAGACTCAGAAAATGTAGCTATTAAACAAAGACTATAAAAAAACTATGCTTACTATTACACTTGATGCTAGCCAAAAGGCTGAGAAGTGATTATACTTACTATTGAAAGAGAGAAAATTGAGATTTTTGTTCAGCAGAGAATAGAAATCATAAAGAAGGATCAAATGAGAATTCTAAAACAAAAAATAAAACAAAAAACCCACCAAACCAACTGACAGGAAGTTTCCTTTAAATTTTTTTTTTTTGTTGTTGTTGTTGTTTGGTACTGGGGATTGAACTCAGGACCTTGGGCTTGCCAAGCAGGTGCTTATGCTCTTGAGCTACCTCACCAGCCCAGGAGTTTCCTTTAAAAACCCTCACAAAACAAACTATGGCCCGGGCCTGCTATGCTACCCCAACCCCAGGGTACACTGAGACACCAATTGAGACTGGGCGTGGTAGCGCATGCCTGTAATCCCAGCTCTTGGGAGGCTATAAACAGGAGGATCACTGTGAGTCTGATCTAGTAGTGAGGCCCTGAACACCCTGTAGACTCTTCCCTAAAAAAATACAGGAAAAAAAACAAGAACAAAAACAAAAACAAAAACACAACTATGGTTGGTTGGTTATAGGACATAGCACATATGATTAACACATACGTAAATTTAGTTTAAAGGGGTGAAGAGATAGGCAGGAACAATATATGAAGGGACAATGGCTAAAACCTTCCTGAAATAAAAGGCATCAAAGCCAGATTTAAGTATCCTTATGAATTCTATACAGATAATATAAAGAAAAACATAGGGAACCCCAAAAGGAGTATGATTATTGAAAACCAACACTAAGAATATCTTGAAAGGGCTGGGGAGATAGCTCAGCAGTCTAAGCACTGCTGGGCAAGCCCAAGGACTTGGTTCGATGCCCAGTACTGCATGCCGTACTGGCCCCAGATCCCCAGGCACAGTGTGCTGGCCACTGAAACCAGGCATGGTGGCACACACCTGTAATAGCATTGCTGGGGAGGCTGAGACAAGAGGATCACTATGAATGTGAGCTGTGTAGCAAGACCCTGTATCAAACAAATAAAAAATAACATTATAAAAAATAAAATATTTTGAAAGCAACCAAAATGGTGGGAAAAAAAGAGGTTCTTTTTAAAGGAGTATGAATAAGACCAGGATAATTGAAACCATCAGAAAGTTGACCAAAAAAAAAAAAAAAGTAAAAGAAAAGAAGCCAAGAAGAAAAATTTAAGTCCCTTGACAATAATGTTGAGACAGCAGATCTCTGGACTTACTGTTAACTAAACAATAAATGCTTTTATAGTACAAAGTACAGTATTATACTGTTATTTCTAACAGAAACTATTCCTGATATTGACATAATGTCTAACAGACAAGATAGAAAAAAAGTGCCCAAACATGAATCCTCAAACACTGTGGAGAATAAAGAATATGCATATTTTTACCAATACAGCATAACAAAGGTATACAGGATTAAGGTACTATATTAATTTTTAGGGCCAGGGAAATGGCTCAGTAGAATACATGCTTGCCTGGCAAGTGCAAAGGCCTGAGTTCAATTTCCCGGTTCTGCTGAAAAAAAAAAGGTTCTATATAATTTTTTAAAAACTTAAAAGGAGAAAATAACTTATAAAGAAATAAAAACTAGAAATAATTTTCTCAGACTATAAAATTTTAATACAAAACCAGAATAGTACAAAGAAAGTAATTTTGAATTTCACCTAGGAACATCTATGCAAAGATCTTAAAATAAGAAAATGGATTTCAGGATTGCATGTTTAAATAATCAGAACTGAACAGAGTTCACTCAAAAATGCAAGATAATCATCATTAGAAAGTTAATGCAAAAAAAGAAAGTTAATTCAATAAACCACATTTTCATATTTAAAATAAAATATGTATCATTTAATAGATTCAGCAAAGCCAGTCATAAAATGTTATACTTCTTCATAATAGAAATCTGAGCAAAGTAGTGAGAAGAAGTGTGACAGGTACGTATTGAAAACAAAAAGCAAATATCTCAGTATCAATGATGCTGACAAACTCTACTGGCTTATTTGTAAATAATAGGATTATCTACATGAACTGAGGAGTTTGTCCTCAGCCAGGGCAACATAGGGAGACCAGTCTCAAAAAAACTATAAAGCTCTGTAATTTAGACAGTATGGTGCTAGTAGAACAAGTCAAAAATTCTCCAAGGCCAGATCATATAATTAGGAAAACCTGATACGGGATAGATGGCATTATAAACTAAGATGGGGTAGATTATTGGCTAAGTATTTCTAGGATGATTGCTTATCCATATGAAAAAAATTAAATTTCCTATTTCACACTGATTTTGTAAATCAGTGTATTTCACAGTGTAAATCAAAGTCACTTCTTGGTGAATTAAAGAGGTAAAGGAGGAAACCAGAACATTTAAAAGAAAATATAAACTGAATATAGTGGTGCTTGCCTATAATCCCAGCTATAAGGGAGGCTGAGCAGGGGGATGAGAAGTTAAGAGGGTCCACTGAGCAACTCATTAAGATCCTGTCTCAAAAAAAAAAAAAAAAAAAAAAAAGTGAGGTATGTAGCTCAATGAAAGAGCAACTGCCTAGCTTGACTTCAATGCCTAATACTTCAGTTTAACAATTACCCACAACCGTCGGACCAACTAATGCCTAATACTTCAAAAACAGAGAAAAATTTTCCTGATCTAGATAGCAGTAATATAAGACAAAAAGCACAGGCAATAAAATGTGACAAATTTGGCTATATTAAAATTGAAATATATGCACAAAAAAACCAAACATAAGTGTAAAGAAGATGACAAGCTACAGACTGAAAGATACCAAGAAAAATATAAATAATAAAGTACTTCCAAGTCAGGCACGATGGCATAGACGAGGCTGAGGCAATAGGGTCTTTGAGTCTGAGTCTCAGGTACATAGTGCTTTTCAAGACCAGCCTGCACTACACAATAAGACTCTGTCTTAAAAGGTAAGTAAATATACTTATAAATTGATGAGCAAAGAAAGTCAGTAGAAAAGTAGGAAACAGTGAAAAGAGATATATAAAGATACGTTATTTTTAGTATGCTTTACAACTTTTGATTATGTATTTAAAATAAACTTAAATTCACACTGAACGTGGGAGGGCACAAATATTACTTAAGGTGAATACGCAGGTATGATCTTAGCCTATCTATACCAGTCTGTACGTTTCTTCAAAATTTTCTAATAAAAAATGAGCAAAACATTAACTTTATTTAAAAAAAACTTTAACAGATGCAAATACAATACAAACAAAAACTAGGGGATTAACTCAGAATCATTCATTAAAAAGGTGGCAAAAAGTGCTGCCCTAGCTTAATAGCATAATTAAAATGTACTACTGTTTGTACGAATGATTAAATTGGGTAGTTTTTACAGGGGCACAGTGCACATCTGCAATTCCAGCACTAGAGAGGCTGAGGCAGGAGGATTGCAGCGAGTTTGAGGCCAGCCTGAATTACATTGGGGGATCCTATCTCCAAAATAAATCAATAGTAATGTTTTCAACGTATAGATCGCCCACAGATTTGGAGCTACTATTTCAGAGTAGCTTCTCCAAATCTCAGTCAAAAACATTAACTGAACTGTGCATGAAAAGCACGCCTAGTGTATTGGCTTGAGATCTAATTGCGTAAAAGTGACCTTTTGGGCTTTCACCGACTTCTGGAGAGATTGGAAATAGCTTTTACGAATGACTTTTGCTCTTTACCCGGACCCGGCAAACGGTTACAGGCCGAGTGCACAGAGGACCAGGCAGTTCTGTCACTGTCCCGCAAACAGAAACAGAGAGGAAACCGCCCCCTTTTCTTTCAAGCACTTGCACTCAGACCGGCGCCCAGAAGCTCCCGGAGGAACGTAGTCGAGAAACAACGGTCACCCTCAACCCCCCTCCGCAGGCGCGCCGACCCCAGCTCCATCGCACCCCCACCCCAGGGGGAAGCGACTAGGAGAAGCCCCGGCGCGACAGCCTCCCGGGGTAACGGCCTCAACCGCCTCCTGCTAAGTCCCGGCTCTGGCCCACCAACTTCGCGCCTCGAAGAACCCCACACTCACTGGAAAGTGGGGCCAGGACCCGGTCCCGGTCCGGCCCCCACAATTTGGCGGGTCTCCCAGGGCTTTGGGGGAGGCGGCGGCTGGGACGCCATCTCTCAGCCTCCGCTCCGCTCCAGCTCGCGGCCGGCTCTGATCCGGCTGAGGTACACCAGCCGGACGGAGCCAGGCACAACTGAAGGAGCACCGAACCCTCCACCCGCCCACTCCTGTAAATCAGGTCGCAGTTTGTGGCATTATTTGTCCAGCTGAGACCAGACAGCGAACAGATACTACGAATTTAGGGAAAAAAATACTTTCTTTTTAGTTGCCCTAGACTCTAGTTTCAGTTCTAAACCTGAGGGTAAGGGCTCATCGATATTTCTGGCGACGGCTACGAGCCCTAGACACCGAGTGCCACCGGGGCCTCTCGGCCACTACCCTGCTTGGGCTGGGAGTTACGCCCGTGCGCTCTAGAGCTGTCAGGGTATTTGGGGTGTTCGGTTGTAAAGGAGGCAGTTTTCCAAATTTCCCTACAGACAAGCCGGGGAAGGTCACTCATTCCTCTTGAGGGTGGGGAGTACTTTTGTTTTATCGCGCTCGTTTCCTGGGGGAACAGAATTGCTAGACGCAATAGGTGCGTAGTCTTTAGCCTTCCCCAGTCCCTCAGAGAGCCGGAAGGGGTTAAATCTCAGGCTCCAGCAGCTCCGCAGAAGGTAAGACAGGTTTTTGAGGTGAGGGGTCGCAGACTGGGTGTAGGAGAGGTGTGATTGGGGCGTGCCTTTTTTCTATTGCTGGAGCGGCTTTATTATTATTATTATTATTATTATTATTATTATTATTTTGGCGGAACTGGGGATTGAACTCAGGCCGTTGCGCTTGCCTGGGAAGCTCTTATTCCACTGAGCCATCTCCCCGGCCCATGGAGCGGCTTTATTAACCTGGAGGAGGGAGTGGGAAGTTCTTGGTCAAAGAGGGTAAAATCTTGCTTGGCCAGAACAGAGACTTGGGGGTAGATTTGGGGATGAACTTTCCAAGAGCCGGGATAAATTCCAAAGCTAACTTTGCACCCGTGGAAGTTCCGAATGCCCCTGAGCGTGGCAAGCCACACCCCACCCCCACGCCGTGGGAGGAATGACATCTGCGGGTATGGAAGTGGATTTTAAAAGATCCCATGGTGTCAGATTCACTGTCGTCGTTTTGATGTTTTTTTGTTTTTTTTCCTCCATGTTCTATATCTTTTCTCCTTTTCGAGGAATGGTTTCTTTAATTGTCTGAAAAATCCTTCCTCTCCCATTTGATCAGAGACGGCCTAGTTATGTTTGGTTTCTGGAGAAGAGGTTTAGTCCAGATCCTGTTGGGACAATTGAGAGGCAGTGCTAGCGCAACTTATTTCAGATTTCTTTCTCTAAAGCACACACGCAAAGAAAGAGCAAAAATCTTAACAGTGGCAGACAGCACTGGAAAACTGACAGCGTGAGATACATGTCTCAGGACCTGCTTTCAAAAATAATAAACCTAATAACGGAACAGTGATTTCTGTACAAAGTCGTATCATTTCCTTGCATCAAGATGAAACAAGTTTAAGGCATATTTTCACCTTTTACTATTAACGTGATTGAGAAGAGGCAAGATTATTGCCATGTGAAAATGGTTTTTAAAGGTTGATAAGGGCTGGGGGCATAGCTCGGTGGTTTTTAAGTGCTTACGTGGTAGGTAGAAGAAGGTCCTGAGTTCAATCCTTGGTACTGGAAAAAAAATTAAAATAAAAGGCTATATAAAGGTTGATAAATCTGTAGCTCTGTTCCACACACACGCTCAAGAAGGTTTGAGAGTTTTTTTTAAATTTCAAAATACTCAGGACAGGTGATTTTGTAATTCTAAACAGGTTTGGGAACTTCTTAGAGCCAGGAGATCCTGACGTGTTGTTTGTTGACTTTGTGTGATACCTTTCTAGTGAAAAGCTTCTCTACAAAGTGATGTTTTTAAAATTTTTTTTAATTAATTTTATTGAGAAAGAAATAGCAATTTCAAAACAAGTTAGTAGGACAGTTACAGTAATTAATATATTGCATATTGTGGTCTTCATAGTAGTTATTCATAGTACAAGATGCAGACATATCTTGTCTAAACACTATTGGTACAAATCTTTCTTATTGAACTAAAAGCTGTATGTGCTATTTTGTATATACAGATATATATATATATATATATATATTTTTTTTTTTAACTACAAAATGGTCCTTCATTTATATCCCCTTTTTGTTTAGTTTTGTCAGAGATGGGTATTCCATTGCCATTCAAATATTGTAGGTGCCATGAATTCAGTAAAGTAATCCAATATAGTCCAGTTAGTCCATAATAGCAGTGGGTTATCCACAGGACTGGCAATGTCAGAAGTTGTTGATTTGAGCCTTTTACAGCTCAGCATATTAATATGGCATTATTTTTTATACCTCGTGTTTATACTTTTCTGCTGCATGGTTAAGACTAAGATAAAGCAAGACCTATATAACAAGAAATGTGACTTTTGCATCTGACAAGGTCAGTCAAATCCCCTCAAGATTTACCCTAAAACCCGGTACTGGAATTTGTAGATCCTTTGTCAGTGTCAGCCATGTGGATGAGTCATGTCCTTTGCTTGACCAATTTGCTCTCTGTGAAAGCCTGAGAGAATGTTTTCTCTCTATATGACTGTCCTTAGGCACCAAAGTGATCTTTTATAGCATTTATTGATTTGTTTATTGCAATAAGTTGTATTTGTTTCTCTTCAAGTTAAAGATTCTGAATGAAATAAAATTCTTGATTTTAACTAATCGCAAGGAGTAGAAAAATAATTTCATAATTTAGGAGGCTGATGCAAGAGAAGTGGAAATTCCGCCTCAGCCTGTGCAAATAATTTAAACAGAACCTATTTTAAGAAGAAAGGGCTGGGATGCCGCTCAGTGTGAAAAGGCTCTGTGTTCAGTGCCCAGAGCCACACATCCACCCACAGAGAGGGAGAGAGAGACAGAGGATAGGGAAGTGAAAAGGAGGAAGGGAAAGGGAGGAGGAGAGGGAGAAAGGAAAGAGAAGAGGGAATTAGGTCACAGTTTCTCTGTGAGAGGAGTAGTGCAGGGGATGTGTTTTATTAGTATTATTTTTAAAATTTATTTTAATTTCTTTGAGACAGGGTCTTGCTGTGTAGTTGAGGTTGCCCTTGAATTCACTCATGCACCACAGGCTGACCTCAAATTTACATTGATCCTCCTGCCTCAACCTCCTGAGTGCTGGGCTTACAAGGGTGGGCCATCACACCCTGGGAGATGTGCTTCAAATGCTTATATTCAGCCCCTTGAATCCCAATCTCTTCTCAACATTAAACTAACAGAGTAAGTGGGCCAAGAGAAGAAATTCAGATTACTTGTGAATAATGACTTGACCACACAGATTTCATTATTTAAAGGGTGTTCTCATATTTATGTATTTTCTTGAAAATACTCTGGAGCCTGTATTGACTGAAGGAACAGTAAGTGTTTCCTAATCCTAGCATCTGAAAGTTCTCACTGGTGTGTCCAGACAAGGCTGACTTCTTTTCCTCTACTGCTAAAGCATTCACATGAACATAGTAGAACCCAGCTGTCTTTTGTAGTAGTGACTGCTGAGCTGATCTCTATGGTGAAGAAGTCTATGGAACTGTATACATATCTTCCTCAATATTTTGTGTCAAGGATCAGTTTCTCTTAAGTGGCCCTAAAGATTTAGAAACTTACAAGTAAATAGTGAGTTTAAGGGTTGGAAAGCACAGACTGACTGTAAGAATCACATCTGCAGATAAACTGTTGGTAAGAGCTTCATTCTCCCATAAATTTTATTTATTTATTTATTTTTTCTCCCATAACTTTTAAACAAGCTCATTTGAATTATGAAATTGCACACATTGAAAGTGCTGCTGTCTTTTATTTGTATGATTACATTTATACCATCCCACAATACTGCTTGGCAATCATTGATTATAAAACATCACTAGTTTATTATTTAAGTTAATGTAAAATAACTCACTAATCATCTATTTTTGCAAAATGTGGAGTGATTAGGTAATTTGAATTTTTAGCACTCTTCCTTTCTGTCAACAGGAGATTTGTATTTGATTTCCTCTCTTCTCTACATAGTATTTTTTTTTCTTGTTCAGTTTGTTTAAATTGGAAAATTTGGTAACATTTTAGGTAGGTAATTATCCTAGAATATTTTATATAAATTGGTTTGGAGAAGGTTTTACTTGTGGGTGGATCAAGTCTTTCTCATTTTTGTAAGAGTTACTAGTTATTGTCAAAGTGAAGTTGGTACTGATAGTTTGGACTATTTTAAAAATCCTGACTAGTGAACTATTATTAAGATGGGCCACTCTTGGTGGTCGTAAAGGAGAAAAAGAAATGCTGAAGCTGACCTCATAGCCTTATAGTCTGGTATATAGCATGTGGGCTAGTTTCAAACAAGGTAGAGAGAAAAAAAAAAAAAAGACTGGCCACATATGGCCATTTATTTACCTTTTTTTTTTCTTTTTTTTTGTATTTTAAGGAAGGGTCTACAGGGTGTTCAGAATCTCACTACTAGATCAGACTCGTTGTGATCCACCTGTTTACAGCCTCCCAAGAGCTGGGATCACAGGCGTGCACCACCATCCCAGTCTCAATTGCCTGCTCGGCACACTCCAGAGATGGAGCACAGCAGGCCTGGGGATCAAACCATCCACTGATCTATTTGGCTGGCCCTACCTTTTCTCTTTCTTTAAATCTTTTATTTATTTATATAATTGGTACAGTGTCTTGCTATGCAGCTCAGACTCCTAGTGATCCTCCTTGTCTCAGCCTCTCCAATACTGGTATTATAGGTGTGTGCGACCAAGCCAGTTTCAGTGGCCAGTGCAGGGCATGCAGAGCCTGCAGGGCCTGTGGTACCAAGGATTGAACTTGAGTCCTTGCGCTTGCCAGGCAGGCACTTAGACTGCTGAGCTATCTCCCTAGCCCCTTGCTCACCCTTTCTAGCTAAGTTTTTTTTTTTTTCTTCCAGAAAACTCATTTTTACTCTCTAACAGGAAAAAATTAATGAATTAGCTTCTCTGTATTCAGACAATACTGAGTGGTACAAAATTAAGCGTAAGATTTCACTCCTGTTTTCATCTTTCCTAAAAAACAACCACTGTTAATATTTTGATTGGTTGTGTTCTATTGCACTTTATCATAATCCAGAATGGTAAACTACATTCCTTCACAATTAGAGGCCTTTACTTGATCCATCTGTATTTTGAGATAAGATCTCACTCTGATGCCCAGGCTGGCCTGAAACGTGTCGACTCCAGTGATCCTTTTATTTATTTATTTATTT